GGGCTCCCTGCTCGGCGGGAAGCCTGCTTCTCCCTCTCCCACTCCCCCTGCTTGTGTTCTCTCTCTCGCTGTCTCTCTCTCTCTCTCTGTCAATTAAATAAATAAAATCTTAAAAAAAAAAAAAAAGATTTTATTTGGGATGCCTGGGTGGCTCAGTCGGTTAAGCGTCTGCCTTCGGCTCAGGTCATGATCCCGGGGTCCTGGGATCGAATCCCCCGTCGGGCTCCCTGCTCGGCGGGAAGCCTGCTTCTCCCTCTGCCACGCCCCCTGCTCATGCTCTCTCTCTCTCTCAAATAAATAAATTTAAAAAAAGACGGCATTTAGGAGAAACTCTTCTGAGACCTTGCACCAAACCACCAGCAATGACTAGTGCTCATGCCATGCTAACGAAGCAGTCTGCAAAGCACTTTGGTTGATTCCAACCAAAGGAAATTTTAAAAAGCTAGCGTCTTGTGGTACCCATGGTTGCAAGAGACAGAAGCCTACTCAAATTAGCCCAATAAGAGGTGTGGTAGTGGTGGAAGTATTTATAATTCTGGAGATCACACTGAATCCAAGGGAGGCTGAACGATTAAACATCAAGAAGGGCAGGAATCAGAGAAGCCCAAGGACTTTGTAGGATTGCAAAGACTTTTACTCATTTGCATGCCCTCCTCCACTGATTTATTCAGTCCCTCCAGGGTCGTTTAGAAGAGTGTTTTGCAAACTGCAGCACACACAGGCATCACCTGGAGATGTTGTTAAAATGTCGATTCTGATTTGGTAAGTCTGGGGTGGGACCCGACAGTCCACGTTTCTAAAGGCTCCCAGGTGATGCTGCCGCTGATGTATGGCCCACACTTTGAGCGTAGCAAGAACTTAGGTCACTGAGCCACAAGCTGCAGTTGGAATCACCTGAGAGATTTTTTTTAACCTTGACGCCTGAATTCCACCCTTCCCAGCAGATTCTGATACAATCGGTTTGAAGTATGACCTGGGAATTAGGATTTTTTTAAGCCCCCAGGTGATTCAAATGAGCAGCAAAGTGTGATTTGATGGAGCCGCTTCTCTGAGGTTAGATATCCCGCCCGTGCAGGCAGCTGTGGATGGATTATGGGGCTTATAAAGTACAAGCATGTCAGCCACACTCGGGACTGTATAGGGCCAATGGGCAAGGATCAGCATATCCGGAACAGTAAATGACTTGGAGTCCAAAAAGCGTGAGTACAGATTCTGGCATCCCCGTTTTCTAATTGGATGCTCTGCTCCAGAAAGTCTGGGTTCAGAATTCTTTAAGCTCTAGAGTGATTTTTATTTTTTTTTCAAGTGAAAAGTGGAAGCTATGCTTTCTGATCCACATCCCCCTCAGGGTCTTTTGAGGCTCAGTGCAGTGTTGTTCAACCAGGGGGCACAGGGGAGAATAAACTGGAGAGAGGTTTGGGGGCGCCTGGGTGGCTCAGTCATTAAGCGTCTGCCTTCGGTTCAGGTCATGATCCCAGGGTCCTGGGATCGAGCCCCGCATCGGGCTCCCTGCTCCGCGGGAAGCCTGCTTCTCCCTCTCCCACTCCTGCTTGTGTTCCCTCTCTCGATGTGTCTCTCTCTGTCAAATAAATAAATACAAAAAACAAAAACAAAAAACTGGGAGAGCTTTCTAAGGAGGACAGGCTGGCCTTCCACGCAGAATTCTGCAAGTCTCAGGGTGGTGCAGGCATAGGTATTTTTACAAGCTCCCCCGGATGATCCTTCTGTGCATCCCTGGCTGTGAACCATTGATCAACTGAGATCATGTCATGAAACCTTCGAGCTGTCCTTGACTCTTCTACCAAACCCCATGGATTCCAGCTCCCTAAATAGCTCTTGAATCTATCCATCCATCTCATCCCTAGAGCCTTGTTCAGAGACTAATGTAGAAAGTTCCCTCAGCCTCCAACTCTTCCTAATTCCCTGCAATCCATCTTCCGAGTAGCTGCCAGGATCATCTTTCTAATACAGGAACTGCTTATGTCATTCTCCTGATCAGGATAAAGTCCAAAGGCCTTAAAGTGGTGTGCAAGGACATTCATGGTCTGGCCATACCTCATTTCCTGTCACTCTCCCCCTCATACCTCACACTCCAACAGTCCTATCACTCCCAGGAGAGTTCTGTTCTCTCAACCTCTGTGCTGCTACTTGGAATGTCCCTCCCCATCTTTTCCTGGCAAACTCCTGCTTTTCCTCTCCCTGCTCCATCGTCCCCTTCCCTGCAGAGCTCTCCCACACCCATCCTGCTCACCATCAGAGGTGGACGGAGGCTTAGGGCCACTTCTGTTTTATGAATCTTAGGGTATATTTCAAAAGATGAAGAAGTTCCCAAAGAAAGTTACTCAAAAAGTTATCATTCCATCTCTGTGAATATATATTCATTTAGTAACAAATCAAACATCTTAATTTGAGGCCCTTCAAAAATGTAAGACATGGCCGAATGACCAGAATGAAAATGCATCCACTAAAATACGCAATATAGAGTCCGACTGTGTTGTAGCACATCACCTGTGAAATCAAATCAAGCAATATTTATTTATTTGAGAGAGAGAGAATGAGAGAGAGCAAGCACATGAGAGGGGGGAGGATCAGAGGGAGAAGCAGACTCCCCGCCGAGCAGGGAGCCCAATGCGGGACTCGATCCAGGGACTCCAGGATCATGACCTGAGCCGAAGGCAGTCGCTTAACCAACTGAGCCACCCAGGCGCCCCAAATCAAGCAATATTTATTAACAATCACTATGATTATTACAAAAAGCAAGTATTTGTTGAATTCCTATTACACTCTGAGCACGTTCTCACTTAATCCTAGTAACAACCCTACAAGGAGAGGACTGTGATGCCCATTTTACAGATAAAACTCAGGGTGACTTGGTGAATTGTCCATGTCACATAGATGGTGAGTAATGGATCTGGGATTCCAGTCCAGGCTCGCCTGGCCCCTGCTCACCGTCCCAACCACGGCAACTGCCTTCTGCCTTTGCTGAGCACTGAACTGAAACCGTGGAGTGGAGTGGAGTGGAGTGGTGTAGAACACAAACACTTTCTGCCTGGGTTTAAATTCTGCTGACTTCCTTTCTTGAGCCTGTTCTTCATCTGCAAAACAGGGATAATAATACTACTTATTTCATAGCATAAGGATTAAATGAGATGTGGCAGGTTGAGGGTTTAGGACTCAGTGACTGACAGCTTTTCCTATTGTTTCCTAGCACTGAGCCAGGCTTTGCAGGATGAAAAGGAGCTAGAGAGAGGGGCCTTTGGACCCAAGTCCTCACTGACTCAAAGCCCAGAGAGGCAGAGGAATCTTGCCACTGTCTTCACTCGGGTCTTTCTTCTCTAAAAGGTCCTTTTGATTTATTAGCAAGAAGCTATCTCCCGACTACAAAGGCAAGATTTCAATAATTCTCACCCAGTTCCTGGCTAAAGATGCCCAAAGAGATTTCTAAGCCAGTGATTTTCAGAGGGAACTTAATTCAAATGCTTTGAAGAGGGGGGCTTGATGGTTGGGCACTTTGTTATATTTTAAGTATGAATGGACGAGCCATCCCACATGGGCAGCATGTGATGGGCCCTGGGGACTGGGCACTTGTGAATGATGGGGCTTCCTATCGATTCACAGGTGATGTGCCATGTTAGAGGCCAAAGCCTCTCCAGGCATGGGGAGGCAGTCCTCTCCCCTAACAGATGTGAATGCCAAATATAAAATTGGTCACCCAAAGAGAATCTTAAGGTCATTGTGCCTACTCCCCTGAGAGAGGACAAAGGTGTTTGATGATGAAAGTAGAGGGCGCCTGGGTGGCTCAGTCGGTTAAGCATCTGCCTTCGGCTCAGGTCATGATCCCAGGGTCCTGGGATCAAGTCCCGCACTGGGCTCCCTGCTCAGCGGGAAGCCTGCTTCTCCCTCTGCCTCTGCCTCTATCCCTACTCCCCCGCCCCTCACCGCTAGTATGCACGCGTGCACTCTCTCTAATAAAAATCTTAAAAAAAAAAAAAAAAAGTAGAGCTGAACCCTCACTTGTAACTGCTCGATGTAAGTGGGAAGATGCCGCGGAGTGGACGGTCGCCCACCGACCTGTGTACAAAGCAGTGATCTCTCAGGGATGTCAGAATGTGAAGCCCCATCTGTGTAGCCTCTCCCTCATTCCCACACCTCCAGCTACCTGCTCCTTCTTCCGAGCAGGAGAATTGTTTTCTGTCCTCTTGGAAGGAACAAATGGTCTGAGAGAGTGAATTGGGAAAATTGCTCCCGGCCCACGCTCCCCTCCCCGGGTCCCCATGGCAGATACTGTTGAGGGCCTATTATGGGCCAGACACTATGCATTTGTTATGAAGTCATCCCTGCAACCCTCAGAGGTGGAGATTATACTTTCATTTCACAGATGAGGAGATTTGGGTTAAAACATGCTTAGTGCTGCGCAAGGTCATATGCCTGCTAAGTGACAGATTTGAATCACCGAGCTCCTCACCACAGAGTCCCCTCCTCTCGTGCCCAAGATGCTGAGCTCCTTGGCCCGGGCTGCAGCCCACGCAGGGCCAGTGTGTGGAGCTCCCCAGGTGAGTCTGACGGGCTGCCAGGGCCGGGCACCACCGCACTGCGTCAGCCCTGCTAGAAATCCGTAAATGGGGTTTTTATTCCATCTTGCATCACAGGTTCCCTGGGGGAGTGGGGAAAGCTGTGACTCTCCCCTATAGAAAAATATGTTTATACACAAAAAGTTGCATACAATTTCTGGTAATTATGGAAATTCTGAAGCTTCTGCATGGATCCCCCAAGAGTCATGGACTCAAATTAAGGTCAAGCCTGTAAATCCTTGCTTCCAACTCCTTGGCCAAAACATGGGAGGTAGCTGGAAGCCCTTAAACAATTCATTTTCTTCCTACTGACTCAGAGTTGCTGAATCTGTAGTCCTGGGATATGTTCCCAGTCGATTCCCATACATCCAACCAATCTTTGGACTGGTTTTGGGGAAGCAGCTCTCTAAATGATGCCCATCCAATGGACCAGAATTCATTTCTGTCACCTCTACCCATATAATGTTAGAAAGTTGCTTCACCTCCCAAACCTTCTCTTTTCTCTTCCATAAAATGGGAATAACAATAGCCCCCACCTCATAGAGTTGATATGGGATTAAATCAAATATTCCATGAAAGTGTTTATCATAGTGCCTGGCACAGAAGTACTGAATAAATAGTAATGTATCACTGATTACATAGTAGTATTATTTATCATCAATGTAAGTAATCTCTGTAAATGGTCTCTTGGTGATAGGATTGGGAACAGAATCGAATTTCTAGTAGACTGTCAACAAAAATACATGAAAGAAAGGAAAAAATTCAAAGTTTATTAAGCATTAAGAATAACAGACAGATAAAGGTTTGGACTTAACAGCATAAACACCACCAATATCATGGTGTACAATTCAACTGACCTCACGTGAATTTGTACCCGTTTAACAGATGCAACGTTTGTGGTGTTGCCAAAAGGATAATGGTTATGGTTATTGTTACGTTTGGTAAGGTGCTCCCAAATTAAAGATGTTATGATTTGACTATAAATATTCACACACGCACACACACACACACACACACAGTCCTCTACACACTTGGCCCTCTCCAAAATGTACTGATTTCAGTTGCCAAGTCCAATTCAATCAAGATCTAGGATAAGGTTTTGCTCAATCAAGATCTAGGATAAGGTTTTGCTCAATTTTAAAATGACATTATTAATTGTAGAGAAAACCTGAAGGAGACCGTGGCCTTTCCAGGGAGGCCGAGGAGCCCTCGGCATGAAGCTAGCACCCCGGGAGCAGAAGAGGTCTACCACATACACGGTCTCCCATCGCCTGCAGCTTGCTGACCCCGGGTTAAATCCCAGCCTCTGCACTCCACTCAGGCAAGCAGGCCAAGCCAGCCTGCTTTGGGATTACTCTGATTAACTCTCCTAAAATGTGAGTTTTCCTAAAAGGAACATGGCGGGGGGGTGGGGATTAGATAAACTACCAGAAAAAAACCAAGCAGAGCTCTGCATATTATGGAATGCCTGTCATTTTACCCCGGGGGGGTGGGGGGTGGGGAGAGGGGCTCCGCCTAGAATTCTTTTTGACTCTTCCAAAATCAGACCCAAGACCTTTTAAATGCACGCTTAGAATTATTGTGTGTTCCCTCACAAAACCGGTGACGATTCACGGGAGGAACCTGTGCGTTATCTAGTACAGCACCCTAGCCACACAAATCCGCTCCGCACTCTCCAGGAACCAGCGGTCATTCTGCTTTGTGGGATGTCAGCACTGGAAGATGAAAGGCCCATCACAGCCTCGCCCATTGGGTGTTTTGAACGGTCAGAAGGTGGCCAGTGTCTCAAAAGGAGGAAATGATCACGACAGCCCTCGCAACCCCTCCCTATAGCCTCAAGGGGCCTGAGGAGCAGGCCAGGCCAGGCTGATGGGTTTTTGCCTTCCTCTGCAAGTCTAGTCCACAGGAACGACAGCATGACCTTGTCAGGAAGTCCTGGGCCGCTCCTTCCAAATTGTGTGTAAATGATGTTGGCATGATTTGATTTGGGTTCATTTTTAATGGCCAAGTAATTAATCTCCGAAAGATACTTAGGATGAAAAGGTGAAAAATGACAACAGGACTTTTAATAGCTGCAGTCTGCAGAACTCATCTGACCCTGGTTGATCCGGAGTCATTCCAGATCGGGCCATGACTTCCCACGCCATTTGGCAGAACTGCCTTATTTACTAATTGTCCCAGAAAGAAAGCAGGGAGTCCAGGAATGAGTGTTCATGTGTGTGTGGTGACAATGACCTACACAGAAGGCACACGTACAGACTCAAAGTTTCTTAAATGTTAAGACGAGGTAGGTTTTCTGAAACCTCTCCTGGCACACCAAAGGATGAGTTTTATTATGATTTTTTTATTTCTTCCACAGAGAACATTTGTGATCCTCATTTGATACAAACCACCTAACTCCAAGAACGACCAGTGCTCAGAGTTTTCTCAGCTACCATTTCACATGGCAGTGAACTTGGAAGGTCCATGGTGCATCGCTTCTCCACTTAAAGATACTGCTTGTCTTTGTTTTAGTAATGACTGCCACTTAATAATTCCGTGGCCATTGGTCTTTTTACCTATAAAAACGCCAACTTTGTGTGTCCACCTGTGTCTCTTACTGAATACCGCTTATTCAGTTCTGCTTCAGAACTTGGCCAAAGGTCTTACTTATTTCACTAGTTGTATACCTGAACAATGCATTTCGATTCTAATGCTCTCCCACTTCCTACCGTCATCTGTGGCCCGGGACAAAAAGAATACCTAGTAGGAATATCCTACTGGTCAGGTTTCCCAAGACTAGGACACTATGACAGAAGCTTTGCGGGTGGACTGACCAGGAGACCACCAGATCATTAAAGAATTAGGTACTCTGGAGGCAGGAGACTAGAAAATCCCATTGATGAAAGGGTGTTTTAATCTAGCACAAATTGTTTCTTTGCAATAACAGCAGAATCTGTTGACATTACACAACTTTGTGAAACAAAAGAACAATCATCTTTAAAGTCAAAACACCTATCAAATTAGAAACCATACACATAACACCAATATCAACCTCATATTGCATAAGACGCACGTGCCCACAGAGGAGAACAGAATTGTTTGGGGTGCTTGCAGTGATATTTCATTCCAGGAACTCATAACTTTGAAGTGAACATTTTCGTGGCAGATGCTTTTCCTAAAAAAACACTGTATCATCCAATAAATATTTGACTAACATCCACTTTGTGCTTTTGGGTGACGTTAACTGACTTCTTTCTGAGACCTAATGGGAAACAAGAAAGCTCCTTCTATATTTTAGAGCGGGATTTGTCACACCAAGCTTCGATACTGTCATAAAATTTTAATTTAAAGCAAAACACATGCTGATGTATCAGTGATAGGCTTAAAATATTAAAGACTTCAAAAACCCCCAAGCGCTTCTTCTCTGTACAACATTGATGAATATATATCTTTGCTATATAATTTTAAAACATGGAATAGTTTTCCTTTTCTCTTTGCTATATATAATATATGTCTTCCAAAATACATCGTCAGTATTTATATCTGAAAAATACTGTACAAAAAAGAACTTCCTATAATTACTCTGTATAAACATTAAACAATTTAATAATCTCTCCTTTTGGTCTATAGTAAACATTTAAATTGATTGGATTGACCACAGTTTGTGACAACACCATCCTCTTCTGAGATACACCAGTGTCTTTTACATTCATTTTTCAGAAGTCCACTTTCTAAGAGCACATACGTTCAAAAAGCAAACAGAAAATAAGAAACATAAGCTCCAGAATCATTAATTTATGAAGCATTCAAAAACGACACCACTAGGATAAAGGGTCTTACAAAACATCAACTTATTAACTTATTAATGATTTTTAAAAACAGCAAGGTATAATTCACAAAAATATATATATTACCAAAAAATGGGGAAAACTGAATCTTAAGTAATTGTTTTGAGTATCAAGAGGGATATGGAAAAAGGTAACTAGAAAAGTGGGAGGGTGGGGGGACTGGAGAGGGGAGAAAACAAAACCAAACATATCAATGTCAAAAGCTGTTCCAAGATGCAATTTTTTTTGGCTCCTACACTGATAAATTAACCCCTCGTTCTGAGACCTGGCATTTCCCTCTGGTTCCCTGTCCTGGGGATGTTCTGGGCATGCTCAAATGCATTACTGTAATTTTTGTGTTTTAAAAGACAGTGAAATTCTTAGGGAACATATCCTATGTCCACTAGTAATACTCAGGCAGCATGCTCTAGCGTACAATAGGATTATTGCTTTAGGTACAGACAGTGCAAAACACACTCTGTGTTCTAGAATAGTACTCTTACTTATCTGGGGTTGGTAGAATTAAAAGGAAACTTAGTAGATAGCAGTAAGTAAATATGGGATCTAATAAATCTAAACAGCACTTTAAATTTGAAGACAATTATCACCAAAACTGAAAATATGAGGAAAGCAACCTATAACTGAGAGAGAGAGAGCTGCAGTGTAGTGCTAAGTGATTTCTGTGCACCTTATTAGCATGGTAACTTACAGATTAAACAGAAACAAGAGCTCGTAGTCTTGACAACTGAGATCTACTAGTTTACCAGGGCCCTGCTTGGTGAAGCCGGGCAGAGGGTCCTGGAAGAGTAGGCGGGAGCCACCGGGGAGCGACGCGGGAAGGGGCAGGAGTGGAGAAGGAGGGAGGGGCTGGAGACCCCCCGGTGGGCGGGAGGGTCCCCGCAGTCCAGTAAAAACATGGCACCTTTCTTTTTCGGAACTGAAAGACGATGAGAGGGCTACCTTAACATGGCAAGTGCACAAGCACGCGCGCGCGCGCACACGCACACCAGAATGTGAGTCAGATGTGTTTATGCCTCTGGTAAAGTGCTGATGTCAGAAAGGTTGCTTCGGGTGTGGTGCTATCAGGCGGGAAACACACTGTCCATCTATTCGAAAGCCAGCCCACAAAACCGCCATCCTACAGGGGCCCGTGCCGGGCCTCGTACTTGGCAAGTATGTTCTTGCATTTGCCCAGCTCCTTCCGCAAGTCAGCCACCTCCTGGCGCAGGGCCGAGTTCTCCTTCTCCAGGAAGGACGCCCGGATTGCGATCTGGTTCTCCTTCAGCCGCCGGGCGTCGCGGGAGCGCTTAGCTGCCATGTTGTTCTTCCTGCGCCGGGCCCAGTACTTGTCGTCCTGCTCATTAGTCACAGGGGGACAGAAACAAGACGTTAGATTTCAGCCGCGGAGGGGCTCGGGGTGGCGCCCGGGCACCAGGGACCCAGGCATCTCACCTCGCGTCTCCTTCCCTGACCGTCTGCACACGTCTGTCTGACACCACGGCCCGTGCGCCGCGGCTGCCCTCCCGCAGCAAGGACGCACCTGTCACAGCGCGCCCCTCCCTCCTCTCTGCCCTGCAGAGTACGTGCCGACCAGGGGACCCCAGAGGCTGCATAAAAGCAAGTAGCTCACTTCACACCCTAAACTACCTTCAGATCTCTCTGCGTTCTTTGATGAAAATGTTATTTTAAGAACCCTTTCCTTCCATGGGTGCTGGTATGCTTGTTGGTAGAAGTCCACACGATATTGTTGCAAGGCGACTTGGCAATATCTATCAACTGTTGAAATGCACCACCACTGATGGAGAACTCCCCTTCTAGGATCTCAGGCTCCTCCCATCTGCATGGGTGTGCACACAGACACGCACAGGATTTTTACTGTGGCATTGTTTCTAATAGAAAGAGCTAGGGGAAACTAATCGGTAGGAGATTTAATAACTACATGATGATGGAATCATACAAAAGGATACTCTGCAGCTGTTACAAATAATGATCCAGCGGAACCAAAAAGATGTTCATGATATACCACTACATGGGTGGAAACAACAGCAATTTGCTGATAAATATGTATGGCTTCATCCCACTTTGGTTAAAAAATCATAATATTGTATATTCATAGAAAGAGGCCCAGAAGGATTTATACCAAGCTATTGAACATGGTGCCTCTACAAGGGGAATTGGAGGAGGGACGCCAAGGAGAGAGGTAGGATCTTTCACCTTTTCTATCTTTCTGATGTATGTCTTGGTAATTAAAAACAGAAATTAAAAACACACACACACACACAAACTTCCACCTGCCACTGATCAATATCCTCATATTGGTGGCTAGCATTTAAATAATTTACTCCTAATCTCCTGTTTAACTCTGCTCTAGGCCTTAATTCTCCTGGGTACTACTTAAATGGGCATCATGTCCTGTCCCCCTCATCATTGCTCCCCCACCAAAAGAAAGGAAAACTTTCTGAGGAAGACTAAGAAATGCAAGTCTTCTTTTAGGCCTTACCAATTCATCTATGGTGCCACCCGGTGTGTTTTGCAACCCTTTCTTTTCAAGGACTTGCAACAGCAAATCCCTCCATCGTAGCGAGGCTAATGCTTGCAGTTAATGCAGTTAGCAGTTACTGGTCACCCAGAATACGTGGGCTGAGGCCAGTGCTTACCCTCCCCCAGGATTGCAAGGGGCAGTTGGCACTGGAAGAGGTCACATGGGTTGGGACCCAGGCTGCAAGGAAGGCCCAAGGTCAGTGGTGCACCCCACACCTGCCCATTACCCTCGGCAAACGTGTGCCCTGCACGGAGACAGAAAGTGTGAGAGCGCGCGTGCGCAGACACCTTCTGCCCGCCATTCACCCCATTCACAGTCTGGTAACCGGTTCCTTATTTATAAAGCACACCCAGCCTTCTACACGTTTCATAATAATATGTAACAAAGTGAAAAAGTGATCTTCCCATAGCTGGCACTAGCATCCGTCTTTCAGAGAAGAAGGCTGTGCTTTGAAGAATAGCTGGATACAATGTCCACAACAGCCAAACTGTGGAAAGAGCCAAGATGTCCATCGACAGATGAATGGATAAAGAAGATGTGGTATATATATGCGATGGAATATTATGCAGCCATCCAAAAAAAAAATGAAATCTTGCCATTTGCAACGACATGGATGGAACTGGAGGGTATTATGTTGAGTGAAATAAGTC